CTATAAGAAAGGACCATTTTTTGATTTATGCGTGTCATCCTTGCGTAGGGACCATGCTAATCTTTTTTGTATCATTCCAATTTTATCAGAAGTACCCGGAGGGAACTTCTATAAGATAATATTAAACGGGCCCTAAAGAAGTAAAGATGAAAATGGCAAAAAAAAAAAAAAAAAAAAAGATGGTGGAAAGCAATTAGCCATTGGCTGTGAACTGATGAGCAGTGTCCACGGCAGAATCAGAATATCATATAAATTCGGTGTTGTTTTTTCTTTTTTTTGAAGCCTCAATTGTTGTTTGCCACTCAAATGTGTGTCCGGATAGATAGTGGATGGTGAATCAAAGAATCCTGAGACAAGACAAGGCACCTTGTCATCCTAGCTGACCAAATTTTGTGAATTTACAGAAAACTTTGACATGATCTTTAAATCACGGAGAGCCAAGCCATTATTTTATTTCATGTTCAACATGTAAAACGGAAAAATCAAGATTATCGTGGAAATATTAGCTAGGGTGCACATGATTCAATTCAATTCAATTCAATTCGCAAAAGTAAAATGCAGAAACAATGCATGTGTGCCATAATTTATAGTAGCAGTCAATGTACCGTACGTAACAAATTTAAACACCATGAATTTGTCTACAGCCAACAAAATTAGACTATGAATATCCATATACCCATAAACCGATCATCATCACCGGCTCTAGTTCACGTGTTGGTTGAATGAAAAGCATTAGATACCATTAAATTATTACAGCAAAAAATAAATAAATAATTGAAAACGGGTGTAGGCCTGGAGGCTATCGACCCAACAAAACAACTGAGAATATTTGATGCCCAAATGAACTCCAACACCGTATCCAACATCAAGTATTTCATGATTTGGGCCTTGCATTGGTTCTTCATTAATTCCATCTTAAGACAAGTCCTTGCAAACCTCAACATACTGTATGCCTACTACTGTAACTAAACGAAGTTTCTTATGGAAAAGACTATTGCTGGTGCAAGTGAGCAGCTCCATTCATGCGAAATTCATTCAACTAATGCACGAGGGGCACGTGGCATTTGTAGGGCGCCTAATTGGACATTGATTTCAGACGCTTTAAGAAAAGAGTGTGACAGCTGCACAGTCGCGTATGGAGTCTCCAAGGAGAAGAAGAAGATGACAGAGAAAGAGACTTTTTACAAGACACAGAGAGAGAGAGAGAGAGAGCTGTCAAAATATTAACTCTTCGAGAGTTTGTGCAAAACACCAACACCGCAAAGCTAGCAGAGAAAAAGAAAGAGAAAGAAAGAGAGGTTAAAAAACAAACCCGATGGAAGAAAAAGAAAAAGGGAGAGGGAAAAAAAGAATATATGAAGAAAAGTTTGTACAGTGAGGATCTTTCAGTGCCATCAATTCAATTAATTGTGTTTGG